TACTGAGGTGCAAATGTGTTTTTATAGGGAGACTAAGATGGTGTTAACTGGGAAGGAATTATCAATGTTAAAGACACACTTACCTCTGGTTGCAGGGCTCGGGCTCTTGGCTGGAGGTGGTCCCTGAGACTGCCCTGAAAACAAAACTCAGGTATAGAAGCGCCCCCCCCAAACACCCCCATCCCGTGATCCCCTGTCATCCTTGCCCCAAGCACAGCCTCATTTGGAGTCAAATTAGCAACTCAATCCACAAGGAGAAATTGATGTGTTTGGGAACTGTCAGGCCAGGCCTTATACCAGTGCTGACCACCAAACTCATTTTTGGACATTTGGGTCCATTTCAAATGTTGAGAAACAAAATTAATCCACTTTAATCTAATTATGTAGAAAAGGCAGAGGAACCAGAGATCAATTTGCCAGTATCCATTGGATCACAGAAAAAGCAAGAGAGTTCCAGAAAAATATTTACTTCTGCTTTATTGACTATGCCAAAGTCTTTAAATGAGTGGATCACAACAAACTGGAGAATTCTTAAAGAGATGGGAATACCAGACCATCTTACCTGCCTCCTGAGAAATCTGTATGCAGGTCAAAAAACCACAGTTAGAACCAGACATGGAAAAACAGACTGGTTCCAAATTGGGAAAGGAGTATGTCAAGGCTGTATATTGTCACCCTGCTTATTTAACTTATATGCAGAGTACATCATGCCAAATGCCAGTCTGGATGAAGCACAAGCTGGAGTCAAGACTGCCAGGAGAAATATCAATAACCTCAGATACGCAGATGACACCACCCTTATGGCAGAAACTTAAGAGGAACTAAAGAGCCTCTTGATGAAAGTAAAAGAGGAGAATGAAAAAACTGGCTTAAAATTCAACATTCAAAAAAACTAAGATCATGGCATCCGGTCCCATCACTTCATGGCAAATAGATGGGGAAACAATGGAAACAGTGACAGATTTTATTTTCTTGGGCTCCAAAATCACCGCAGATGGTGACTTCAGCCATGAAATCAAAAGACACTTGCTTCTTGGAAGAAAAGCTATGACCAACGTAGACAGCATATTAAAAAACAGAGACATTACTTTGCCAACAAAGGTTCATCTAGTCAAAGCTATGGTTTTTCCAGTAGTCATGTACAGGTGTGAGAGTTGGACTATAAAGAAAGCTGAGCACCCAAGAATTGCTTTTGAACTGTGGTGTTGAAGACTCTTGAGAGTCCCTTGGACTGAAAGAAGATCTGATCAGTCCATCCTAAAGGAGATCAGTCCTGAATATTCATTGGAAGGACTGATGCTGAAGCTGAAAATCCAATACTTTGGCCACCTGATGTGAAGAACTGACTCATTGGAGAAGACCCTGATGCTGGGAAAGATTGAAGGCAGAGAGAGAGGGGGCCAACGGAGGATGAGATCATTGGATGGCATCACCAACTCAATGGACATAAGTCTGAGCAAGCTCTGGGAGTTAGTGATGGACAGGGAAGCCTGGCCTGCTGCAATCCATGGGGTCGCAAAGCGTCGGACACGACTAAGCGACTGAACTGAACTGAGTCTAATGGGCTTCCCTGGTGGTTCAGATGGTAAAGAGTCCTTCCATAATGCAGGAGACCCAGGTTCGATATCTGGGTTGGGAAGATCCCCTAGAGGAGGGCATGGCAACCCACTCCAGCATCCTTGCCTGGAGAAATCCATAGACAGAGGAGCCTGGTGGGCTACAGTCCATAGGATCACATGGAAAAGACCCTGATGCTGGGAAAGATTGAGGGCAGAAGGAGAAGGGGGCAGCACAGGATGAAATGGTTGGATGGCATCACCAATTCAATGGACATGAGTTTGAGCAAACTGCAGGAGATGATGAAGGACAGGGAAGTCTGCCATGCTGCAGTCCATGGGGTTGCAAAGAGTTGGACACGACTGAGTGACTGAACACCAACGAATCTAATAACAAATAGATGAGTCACGCAGCTGAAGCCCCCTTTAGGTCAAGGCTGTTCTTTGCTGCTTTGGGTCCTTTGCCCTCCTGCCTCTTCCTTCCTGCTGCCCACCAGTGCCCTCCCCCCACCCATCAGTGTTCAGACCCCCAGATGAAGCCTGTCCGCTGGGAAAGCATCTGAAACTCCTCCACACATCTGAGCAGGTGGCAACTGCCACTCTTTCTCTGAGTTCCCTACAGTTTAAAGCAAGAAGCTGGCTGTGATTCCCCAGGCTTCACAAATCACTCAGTGATCTGACCACACTTGGGGCAGAGGGGCTGTCTCGTGCCAGGAGACCAGGTGGGCAACCACAGGCCATTTCCCACCGAGACAAGGGCTGGGCTCTAACGTGGCTCGGTGGGTCTGAACACCCAACGAGGAGAGGGGCTTGAATGATCGTGTAGTAGGGTCTGCAGAGCACACAGAATGTATCTTTCACCACCAGCCTGGGAGGAGGGGGCACAGAGCGGGGTCCCCCTTTATCCCTGCACCTCCAGCTTTCCCTTCTGAGCGCTGCTCTGCCCTTTCTCACAGGTGCACTGGTTCTGGTCAACAGGAAGGATTGCTGGCCCAGCTGGAAGTGAGGAGAGGGCTGAGTGCCCTAAGGGCCATCCTAGAGGCCGCCGGGACCACCGAACAGTAAGAACGTTCTCCATCCTTTAACTCGTGGTTAAACCCTCCAGGCTTCCCTGGTGACTCAGATGGTAAAGAATCCACCTGCAGTGCAGGACACCCAGGTTTGATCCCTGGGTTGGGAAGATCACTCCAGTATTCTTGCTTGGAGAATCCCATGGATGGAGGAGCCTGATGGGCTACCGACCATGGACTCGCAAAGAATCAGACACAACTGAGTGACTAATACTTAGCAAACCCTCCAGGCAGATTGTCTTTTCTTCTGAAAACCTTGAGAACCGGCCCATAACGTTAGCTGACACTTATTGCACATGACCTCAGAACACACAACCCTGTGTTGTTTCTCCTTGGCTCCTGGAGGATGGGGCGAGAGCTACGCCTTGTCCCTCTGTACCTTTATTTTACTCTTCATATTCCATGAACAATAATAAACTCTTGTTGCTATGGAGGGATGGGCTGTTGCTCATACCCATGACGGTAATACTTGTCCAGCCCTCTGAAGCAAGCCTTGTCTCCAGGGGTGTTTGTGAGAAACTCAGTTCCTGGACCTCACACCAGAGGTCCCGAATTGTGAGTCTAGGTTTAGACTGAGAATCTGCACCCTGCCCCCAGTATTTCTGATGAACACAGAGGAAACTGCATCCAAGATGTGTGTGATGAACTTTGAGAACTAGTTCCTTAGAGAGTATAAAGCAGAGAATCTCACTTAATCCTCTTATCAGATAGGGTTTTTTTAATCCCCTTAAGTAACCTGATGATCTCACAGACCTAAGTAGCAGTATAGGCAGGGGTTTAGAAATCCAGTTCTCCAAAACAAGTCTTTTTTCTTTCCAGTATGCCATGATAAGGGCTGGATCTGTTACAGTGAGATGGGCTCCACCACCCCCCCAAATCCACAGGACCCTGCTGGGGTGTTTGTAAGTTTCCCTGATGTGTTAGGGCCCCTGTGATCTTCTAGTTTCCCAGTCTTTGTGATCCAATATGTGCTCAGTACTCAGTCATGTCAGACTCTTTGCAACCCCATGGACTGTGGCCCACCATGCTCCTCTGTCCATAGGATTTCTCAGGCAAGAACAGTGGGGTGGGTTGCCATTTCCTTCTCCAGAGGATCTTCCTGACCCAGGGATCGAATCTGCATCTCTCAAGTCTCCTGTATTGGCAGGCAGATTCTTTACTAGTTTCACCTGGGATCCAGTCTTTGTTTGGGGGGCAGTAATCATTGCCAGATTCCTCACAAAAGCTTGTTTCCCGCAAGAGAAGAAGGAGAGAGGCAGGTAATTAGAAATGTCATGTATATTGAAGAGGACCACACACACACACTGACCACTGACCCATCTTGCCAAGGGAGCGCCAGTCTGTTCTGTTCTGGGACTCAATACAGTTGACACCGTTGCTTGGATGGGTGCAGTCGGCAAGGAAAATTTTTGCAGCTAATGCTGGAAGTGTGGCAATCAGGGAGCCGCCAGCTGTCTCACTTAAATTCTTAGCTCTCTCGCTCTCTTTTTTTAAAATCATTTTGCTTACATAATCCACCCCCTTTTTATTTTCTAATTCTCTCCTTGCAAAGCTGGCACCAGAGGGGAAGGGCTGGGGTGGAGGGGGTAGCAATTACACATCAGTTTGGGGAGCATTTACATTTTGCAATTACAATTTAAAAATAAGCCTCGTTAATGATCTCCACGTGTCAACGACAACCCCTAACTGACATACATACTCTCGTGGGCCTGCCTGCCTGCCTCCTGCTGAAGTCAGAGGCTCCGTGGGGGCGGAGGTGCCTAGGGAGACTTGGGGGAGCCGAACAGCATCTGGGGGTGGGGGCAAGAGCAATGAGGTGCCCTGGCGGTTGAAGGAGGGCAGGTATGGAGCTGAGCACCAAAAACCAAGGGTCCCGGCTTCCAGCTTCTCTTCTCCACCCTGTGCTCATACTCCATCCCATTGCATCTCCTTCCACAGCTGACATAGCAGGCTCTGTCAGGGCAGACATCTCAGAAGCAATGTCAGGGCTCGGGGCTGGGAGAAAGGGAACCTCAACTCCTGTTCTCCTCCAAGGTGGGAGTTTTCAGGTCCTACTGGGCCAGTGAATCCTAGTCCCCCAAAGCCAGCCATTGTGTCTGGGTGTCATGGATTGGGCAGACGGTCTGAATCCATACACAGGATTCAGGAAATGAGAAGGGTTAGTTTATCCCAGTTGGGCAAAGACACCCCTTCTAGCAATGAGTGACCACACATTGATTGATGCCTTCTGATTCCTTGAGCAGGGACTTTGGAACAAAGCAGCCCAGCTTCAGATTCCAGCTCTGCCATTTGCTGGCTGTAGGATCGAGGCAAGTTACATGACTTAGGTTTTCTAACCGTCACTGTCTTGATGGGCTGGGACAACCGCGTTTACCTTGCAGGGCTTGTGTGCGGATGAAATGCTAGAACTACTGTAGGGCACCTCACGTACATCTGGCATGCGATGGATGCTCCCAGCCCCTCCCCAACGTGTCCCCTCCTGCCCACATCGAAGCTGCTTCCTTCCAGCTTCTGTGGACACTAAGGAAGTGTGATCCTGTTTGATTTCCCCTGGTCTTCCCTAAAGTCAAGCCACCTGCTCCATGAGCAGCTCCTGAAGTGGACCCCAGCCCTACACACCACACCCCCCACCGTCTCCCTATGGGCTCCGCTGCAGGGCCCTGGCATCAGGCCCCTGCTCCAGCTTCAGCATCTTTTGGCTTCTTTCCTGCCTCTGGCTGGTAACAAGCCCAGCTCCCCCTCTTCTGGGCACTAATTCAATACAGTGACCTTCCATCATGCCCCACGTATGTTCTTTATCTGTGAATGAGAAATGCGGATGGGAGCTCTGTGAGATGCCTTTAACCTTGGCTTCTGTAATTCTCAGATTTCCCTTCCCCACTTGGCTTCCCTCTGGCCAGTTACTTGTGTGTGAAGCTTTCCTCTCCTGGGCGGCTTCATCCAGGTCCATCTTTGAACTTATGACTTGTAGTCAAGAACTTGAATTTGTGACTTGAAGTGTACATAAAACAGCTCTCTCTTAGGATAGAAAGAGATTTGCATCTTGCAAACTCCTGAGCGAGGGAGATGTTCCAGAAGCAGAAGCCGGTGGGGTAGAGCAGAGGAACAGAGATGGGCTGCAGAGGGGAGTTCCTTGAGGACGCGGACTGCGTCCTATCAGTTTGGGTGTTTGATTGAACACAGTGAAATTTATTTTTCAAATGCTGTCCTAAAAACTTGCCTTGTTAAACTAGGCTATATAATGGAGAGTTTTCCAGGTCAAGATAAATCGATCTAGTCTATTGTTTTTTACTGCTGCATAGTATTCTAAAAAGCCTCCCTTCTTTCCCCCACCTCTACCCACTAGTTCACCATCCAGTCAACCCCAAGAAAGAGTTTCTGATTTAGCTGATTTTGTGGCCACTTATTGGGCTTCCCAGGTGGCTCCGTGGTAAAGAATCCACCTGCAATGCAGAAGACACAGGTTCAATCCCTGTGTCGGGAAGATCCCCTGGAGGAAGAAATGACAACCCACTCCAGTTATTCTTGCTTGGAGAATCCCATGGACAGAGGAGCCTGGTGGGCTACAGTCATAAGGTCACAAAGAGTCACATAACTGAGCATGTACGCAGGTGGTTGCTTTTTATGTCATACAATATGTGTCAGTCTCTCTCTTTTTAAAGATATTTTATTTATTTATTTGGCCTCTCTGTGCAGCATGGGAATCTTAGTTCCCTGACCAGGGATTGAACACGTGCCCCCTACAGTGGAAACTTATCCACTGGACCACCAGGAAATTCCCTCAGTCCCTATTTTTAACATATGTGTTTATTTATGAATGATCTGCTGTGGAAGTTGAGGGAATGAGCACACATTCTTCTCCTTCCAATTTATATTAGTTTGATCAAACTATATTTGATATTATCTATTTTTAGCTCGATAGTATTATATATAATACAGAACATATATATTACAGAGTGCATAGTGTTATACTATTTAGTATAGTTTATGTGCTATCTTTACAAGATTTAGAAGATTTTTTATTCTGTTAAATAACTGTGGTTACCTACACATGCTGACTATAGGTTGGTAGTGAAGTGAAATTCGCTCAGTCGTGTCCAACACTTTGTGACCCTATGGACTATACAGTCCGTGGAATTATCCAGGCCAGAAATACTGGAGTGCCCTTCTCCAGGGCATCTTCCCAACTCAGAGAGCGAACCCAGGTCTCCTGCATTGCAGATGGTTTCTTTACCAGCTGAGCCACAAGGAAAGCCCAGGAATATTGGAGTGGGTAACCTTTCCCTTCTCTGGGTGATCTTCCCGACCCAGGAATCGAACCAGGGTCTCCTGCATTGCGGGCAGATTCTTTACCAGCTGAGCTATCAGGGAAGCCCCAAAGTGAAAGTGAAAGTCACTCAGTTGTGTCTCCTTGCGACCCCAGGGACTATACAGTCCATGGAATTCTCCAGGCCTTGTCTATTGGTTGATAACAAGGTAGAAATGTTATTCAGCCACGGAACTCACTCTTGGGATTTGACCCCAGGAAAAGGAATGGAATCCTGTCCTCACCACTTGGCCACTGCCTAGAGTCTCCCGAGCCCCCAGGGTGACGCCCACCCCTCAGTCCTTCCAGCTGCCTTCCTCCCGTGGGGCTGCAGCTCTGTTTTGTTTTCCACTGCCTTCTTCCTCCAGCCTCCTTGTTTTCTGAAATAGCACCTCTAGTTATTTTTATATTGATGGGAGGGGAGTAAGTTGAGTCCTCCTGTATCCAAAACAGACTTTATCTTCTCTTTGAACCTGACTGACAGAACTCAGAGCAACGTGCCACACCGTTTTCTCATAGATCCTGAAGGTGCTGCTTCACTATCTTATTTCCAGTCTGGCAGTGAGAATCCACTTTTAGTTTTCTTTTCTTTTTAAAGCTCTGAATTTCCACCACTGTGTGCTGAGGCTTGAGATTTGGTTTGCTCCTTTTTTATTTCTCTTACTCAGCCCTTGGGATCCCTTGAAATCTGAAGTCATCTATCTTGCTTCATTTCATATCTTTATTCCACTCATCTGTTTTCTCCTTCTGGGACGTCCATGGCCCAGTGCGGAGCCTGGCACATAGCAGGTGCTCAATAAATGACTGTTGGTTTCTGGGTAGGACCCCCGCTCAACTTGTGGCCTCAGATGGGATCTCTGGATCTCTCTCTCCTCCCTACCTCTCCTCTAGGCAGCAGTCAGACCCACCACGGTTCTGCCAGCCCTCCGGCAAACTGCTCTGAACAGTCTGCTTTGGAACCTTGCGTCCAACACTGCTCCTGGGCTTGAGGAAGAAGCTAAGAGTCAGGAGTGAGGACAATGCTCAGCTCAAGCTGGGGCAGCCATAGTGGCCAGCCTCCAGTGACAGACACGTCTCTGAAACCTCAGATCTCATCAGCATCCCCTGGACATTGATCCTATTGGGGACCTCTCTCCTTGACCTTCCTGATCATTCTTACATGGGCCTCCTTCTCTCTTCATCTCCCTCTGCCCACCTCCCCTACTCCCCAGACTGCCTCAGCTCACATACACACCCAGCTCCTGTTCGTGAAATAATCCCTGACCACGGCAAGGGCCTCATTAGGTGAGATCCTTTTTTACACTTTTATGAATTCCAGAACAGAGAGACAGCAGACTTCTCTTCCCAGGGCTGCAGAGCAGACGCTCTGACCTGAGCAGCCAGGCCCTAAAAAGGAGAGCAGAGAGGCTTGTGGATAGCGGGGATCCCAGCCTGAGGCCACCTGTGCCCTTGGGGAGGCGTCTTGGCTGAGAATTCCCACTTTTTCCTCCCCCCTTCCCCAGGGATGGGCTCTAGGAGCAGACACCTCACAGTCCTCTCTCCTGCCCTGCCCAGGCCACTCTGCTCTGGATAGGATCTCTACCCTGGGAGTTGACATGCTTCACTCCTTCTCCCTGAATGGGCCAGACCATGGAACACTTAGATCAACAAGCGCTCAGATCCCAGAGGTCATTCTCTGTTCTAATCAAAGTATCCTAATTGGTACCCCAGGTTGAGAGTCCACTCTGCGAATCTTTCTCCACCTCCCCGCCCTGTCCTTGCCCTCCATAGGGTCTGTCTTAACTGGCACAAGCAGAAGCACAACTTGAACTTCGAGTCCACAAAGTTTCTCTACTGAAGGCAGGATTTCTTTCTGCCAAGACCACAATGATAGGGAATGAGTCGTCACTGCAAAGGGCAGCATTTGAGGCAAGTTAAAATTTTCGGACACGCAGCTAGCATTCAAAGACACCCGCTGCTAATATGGAACACTTCTTGGTTGAGTGCAGTAGAAAGGGCCAGCATATGACTCAAGTTTTCCCTTTTAGAAGCCCGAGAACTATTGACCCCTTTCCAAAGCTGGAGGTTGAAGGGATGGAGCTTGGCAGGGGCCAGGGGGACACAAAACAGAGCTCTAGCCCCCTGCACTTTTGTTTAATTGCTTCCTGCTTTGGAGGCTGTGGGTAATAATCCCATTGCTGGCCAGCAAAAATGTCTTTGCTGGTCACCCCTTCAGAAGCTGCCTGAAACCTCTCTGGGCTGAGAGAGGAAGGAGGCAGGTCTGAAAGGAAGGTTTGTGGGAAGGGGCTTTTGCAACGGGATAAAGTTAGAACTCAGAGAGCTATGTCAAGGGATGCTCCCTGAGAATGGGGTGCCCCTAACCTGAATAAAAGCCAGTCCTGTTCCATCAGACAGGCTTTCTGTAGATAGAGCCAGCTGCCTCTTAGCCTGTGAGTCACGGCATATTTCCCTCCAGAACTGGGACTTCTTTGCAGCTGTGGGTGGTCCTTGGAAAACCATGGGTGGGTTGGAGAAAGAAGGCCAAGCAGAGACACTTCATAGGAAGCAAGTAGACTACAGGCCCCCTCCCTCCCCACCCCACCCCACCTGGGCCGCTGCAACACAGAAGGGAGACATTGCCAGCATTCCAGCCGACCTGAGTCAGAACCTGGCCCTGAGCTGCCTGCATGGTAAGGGGTCGGTGCACAGGCAGCCCCCGCCCCTGCCTGGCACCAGCTCCCAGGGTTCTGAGCCCACGGCTGAGACAGGTGATCGCCTGTTACATGCAGTCTTCAACCATGTATTCTGTCATTTCATAGTCGTTCTCAAATCTTGTTCTTTCCCTTCATAATTGAACCCACAGTCCAGTGATTCCCGACAGAGGCTCAAACCTGCCTCTCTGTCTTGGAAGCATCTTTGTCTTGGTTGCATCGTGTTTGTGAGGCCCTGACGTCTCATGGCTGTTATCAGCATTTTGTTTCCCGTCTTCCACTCATTTTTATACAGTAATAAGAGCAAATGCAGTGCAGTATTTAAATGAATTTGCTCACACCCTGCTGTCCAGAGAAGACAGGACAGAAATGAACAGTTGCTGTTTCAGAGGACTCACCATCCACAGGCATAAAGTATGTGCCTATTAGTGAGGTGCAAAAGCC